TCTCTGTGCAGCTCTGAAGAGAGCTCTCTCTCTCTCTCTCTGCGAGGGAAGGAGCTGCCTTTCTCTCCAGTGATCTATGGTGCAGCCTCATCGCTGCACCACAGGAGACCTCCAGGAGGCTTTAGGGAGGGATAGTTCATAGGTGGCAGTGGGTTCTTTTTCTTTCTGTCGCTTAATTTTTATGAGCCTCACTGGGTCAGGCGGGAGTCGGCGGGGGGGGGGAATGGCAGCAGCCTCCATTTCAGGAAATAGAAGAAAACATTTTAAAGGCCCCTATAACCAGGGTCAGTCATGGCAGTTGCACTCTGCTGCATTAGGCGCGGGGGGGGGGGGAGAGGAGTGGATCTGGCCCAGAGGAGCTGTTGGGGGTGGGGTGGGGGGCTGTGCTTCTAGACACACAGGGAGAAAGCACCCCCGTACCCCTCTCTGCTCCCAGCCACCCACAGGCTCGCCTGCCTGGTCCTTTGGGAGTGGCGTGCATCCCCCCACCCCAGGTGGCAGTACTAGGAGGGAGCAGTCTCTCTGCTTGGAGCCGTGCAGGGACGGCTATTGTGTTCAAGAAGGGTGCAGTTCCTTCCCCTCCCACGCAGCAGCGACACAGGCTCAACATTGCAGCACAAACCGTGGTGGACGACGGGCCATGAAGTCTGCAAAGCAGCTGAGCATGCAAGCAAGTCCCTTGGGAATCCAGGACCCTGTTCGATAGGGCTGCGGACACGGTGGGGACCCAGAAACAGGCCTTGCTCAGTAGGTTTGCAGCCTCCTCGCTGCTGTATCTGAGCACCTCATAGCGCTCAATGGATTTATCCTCACAGCTGCTCCGTAAGGTAGGAAACCACTAGCCCCATTTTGCAGATGGGAAACAGACACAGAGGAAGTGACTTACCCAGACAGCCTGGGGCAGAGCTGAGAGTTCAACCCAGGGCCCCTGAGTCCCCATTTAAATACGAGAGCAGCCTTTTATCGGGAGGGTCAGTGGGCACCTGTTGACTTTAAGTGGTGTCTGGATCAAGCCTTCACTGAGTAGCAAGCAGCACAAGCAGCTCGTTGGAGTTGGTTGCTACCAGCACAGGGCTCACGTGTGGAGAGGGGGAGATGATCCTGGATGCCAGTCCTGTGGACCGGCTGCCACTGGGAGCCGTGTAGCTGAGTTTTGGTGGAACAGCATCCAGAGTCATCTTCCTCCACCCCTGCTTCAAAAGCAGCCCCAGGACTTGTCACGGGGTGGCCTGCCCCTTAACCGGCCAGGTAGCCCTAGTCCATGATCAGGCCCAGCGGGGAAGGGGCCAGGTAATTCCTATGGAGGGCTGAAAGGGCTCAGATGAAGAGGAAAACCACAGGAGGGAGGTGGGCTTTTGTGGCTGGCTCCGGAGCAGGGGGAGGGACAAAGGGCCCCGGGCCCCCTGCAGCCTGCCTCAGTCAGAGGCATAGCGGTGCTTGTGTTACTGTGTGAGTTCTGTGTTTGAAAGAAGGGCCTGAACAGTGGTTCGGGCGTGGCATTGCTCCTTCCCGGGCTTGGGATTGCCTTACATCTCCTAGGACAGAGCCAAGCTGACCAAACCGATTACACACCCAGGGATTCCTTCAGGGTGTCTAACAAGGACAGTGCCTGCACTATTTGTTGGGTGACTATGGAGCCTATGGCTTCAGTCTTGGCCGGGGGGGTGGGTGGGGAAGCTGCTGCCGCTGAAGATCGCTCCTGGGACAGTCCCTCTTCTGGGAGCGAGTCCCGCCATAGCCCCAGCTGTGGAGCAGACTCCGTTTGGGGTATTGCCATTAAAGATCATAAATAAAATGGAACAAGTATTCCCCGGGGGAAATAAACCCAGGTTCCCAATGATGCAGAGAGACAGCTGCTTTCCTTGCATTTATAACCATCCTGCGTGCCCAGCCGACCCCTGTTCTCTGAACCATACACAATGACAGACACACGTAAGTCATTTCGCCTAAGCCTGGAGGAAATGTACATCCGGTTCAATACAGCAAGGCCCAAACACCCTAGCTCCCTTTTCTTTTTGTGCAATCAGAGCAGAAAGGTTAGAGCACTGGCCTAGAACATGGGACACCTGGATTCGATTCCCGGCTCTTCTATGGACTTCCTGTGTGACCCTGGGCATGTCACTCAGCCGCTCCGTGCCTCAGTTTCCCATCTCGAAACTAGTGGTACTAATGCTTCCCTACCTCTCAGGGGTGTTGTGAGGGTAAATACATTAAAGATTGTGAAGCAGCATGTAAGCCATAAACATCATTCTTATTATTATTTAACCGTTGTCCTGGGACCATGTAGACAGGTTAACATAGAGTGAGATCAGCAAATCCATCTGCAGCCCCTTTGATCCAAAATGTGAGACATTTCCAATAAGCTCATGTACTACATGTAAGCAAAGCATAATAAAATCCCCCTGATCTCCGTCCTCTGGATATTTGCTGTAAGTTACATGGGAACCCAGTTCACCCTAGCTATCCAGACAACCAATCTAAGCAATCAGCAAGCCAACAAATTTGGCTCATTATCATTTTTCACCACGGAATGTAGATGCTTTTTCCCAATACCTCTGAGAGCCATTGCAATAACCTCCCCCCATCTATATGTCTGTCTCGCTAGTCATTGCAGTCCCATTATTTCACAGCAGTGCTGTGGGGTTTTTTTATTATTCTTCTTTTACAATTCCAGTATTGATGTTTCCTTTTCCCTCTTAGCTGAGATAATACCATAGCCAATAACTTCCCCCTTAAACAAGCTCATGGTCAATAGCAATAGATCTAACAGGCTCCAACTGTCAGTCTCTCTGCTGTCCGCTTTGTTTTATTTTTCATCCTCAAAAGACGACTCTCTCCCCTCCTGCCTTGTTACGAAACCATCCTCCAAATTTCTGACTGCAGTGACCTTCCTTGGCTCAGAAGGACTGGAGGACATGCCTTTTTGGAGCCCATTCAAAGCACCTGCTAGCTGAG